CTCACACGGGGCAGCCCAGGAGGATGAGGATGGTTGCACAGGGCACCCGGAGGATGCTCACACGGGGCAGCCCAGGAGGATGCCCACTCAGGACCCCAGACTTGCTCGTGGTTTGGGAGCCTCTCACTTGGGCAGCCGGGGACACGTCCCCTTATCCCTGCAGATGGGCAGGAGTGACAGGCTGGCCCCGCCCCCTCACAGAGGCCCCGCCCCTTGTGCCACTGCCCCGGAGGGGATTGGCTGAGGGAGCAGCAGTGGGAGGAGCCAGTGGGTGGCAGGTATATAAGGCAAGGTGGTGGGTTGCAGCAGGTGGTGTTGGGAGGTCTGGTCCAGGTGAGTGGGATGGGGATGGGGATGGGGATGGGGATGGGGATGGGGATGGGGATGGGGATGGGGATGGGGATGGGGATGGGGATGGGGATGGGGATGGGGATCCAGGTGCTCTATGACCCACAAGGATGGGAAGGGGGCTGGAAGTGGAGGCTCCCCAGGCGCCTCCGACGCCGTTGCCTCCCCAGTGACGCCCGGGCAAAGGTGCTGCCCCCGTGGCCGCCCCTCACCTTTGCTCCGGCGCTGACTCAGGGGCCCACGTGCCCCTTTGCGCAAGAGCCCGGCTGGCAGGGTCGGCCCCGCGGCCGCCTCCAGCCTGGCCCGGCCAAAGGGCAGCCCCAGCCCCTGCGTAAAGGCGGCGGCGGCGCCGGGCGCGGGAAGGAGCCGCGGGAAGGAGCTGCGGGGAAGGGTCTCCCGGCAGGGTCCGCAGGAGGCCGCTGCCCGCGGCTCAGTGCTGCCCTCCCGGCAGGCTTGAGCTCGCCCCGTGCTGAGATGGATTACGCCAAGTCCCTGAGCCTGCGCCTCGCTGACCCCATTTCCAAGTAAGTGCCACGGAGCGTCCCGGGGGGTGTTGGAGCTTTCTCCCCTGTTGGAGACCGCTCCCATTCCTCACCCTGGACGTGCTGGTCCCCTGCGATGGCCGCTGGTGGCCCCGGTGGCGCCGTGACCCCCCTGTCCCTCCGCAGGTGCGTGTCGGCGAGCGCGTCCGTGACCCAGCAGCTGCTGCAGAGCGCGGCGCCGCGGCCCCGGCCCTTCCGCGTCTGCAACTGGGACCGCAGCCTGCGCAAGGGCCTCGTGGCCCGCAGCCTGGCCGAGCTGCTGAGCCAGGTGGGCAGGGGGGGCCGCCCGCCCGGGGGGCCATCTGTCCCGCTTGACCCCCCAGCATCACCCTTTGCAGGCTCAGAGCGCCCTGCTGGCGCCGGGAGCCGTGGCGCTGGTGCTGGAGGAGGACGGCACGGCGGTGGAGACGGACGCCTTCTTCCAGACGCTCGAGGAGGGCACGGTGCTCATGGCCCTGGCCACAGGGCAGACGTGGTGCCCCTCCAAGGTGGGTGAGGGCCCTGCTCCGGGGCTGCATCCCGGGATGCATCCCTGGGAACAGCCCATGCTGCTGGGGAGGTGGCAGGAGGATGGGGGTCCCCTAGGCGATGCCACCCTGTGACACGGGCCCTGCCGTCCCCTAGTCACCCGGCTACCAGCTGAGCCTGTCCCACAAGCCGCGGCGCCGCATCGACGTGGCCTGCGTCACCTTCGACCTGTACAAAACCAGCCCCAAGGACCTGGGCTGCCTCAACGTCAAGGCCACCCTCTACGGCACCTACAGCATGTCCTACGACCTGCGCTGCTACGGGGCCAGGCGGCTCGTGAAGTGAGTGCCGCCTGCGGGGACGGGACCGGTGGGGTGTCGTGACGGGGGGCTGCATGCAGGGACGCTCACCCGCCCCGTCCCCGCGCAGGGAAGCTCTGCGCTGGACGCTCTTCACCATGCAGGCCACGGGCCACGTGCTGCTGGGCACCTCCTGCTACATGCAGCAGCTGCTGGAGGCCACCGAGGAGGCCAAGGAGGAGGCCGGGGAGAGCGTGCCGGCCCTGCGGAGCCTGCTGGGCCCCGGCCTCCCGCCCAGGAAGGTGCTGCCGTGATGGCCCCACGCGCAGCCCCTTCCTCCCCGCTAGGTCAATGCGCACAGGGAGGCTGCCGGCCTCCCCGGGCCCCTGCACCTCATCCCCTCGTCCTCCTCGCCCAGCTTGGGCAGCTGGGATCTGCCCCGATGCTTCTCCCTCACACGGCGCTGGCCAGCTCCTCTCTGTCGGCTGCTGCTCTGTAAATATATTTATTTAAGTAAAGCGGTAGGCACTGCAGCATGGGGTGTCCTTGTGGTCTGTGTCCCCCTCTCCCTTGTTCTGGTGTCAGGGGAGGCCATGTCCTGCTGTCAGCAAGTGGCTTCCTCTGCGTCCCACGCTGTGTGGGGCTGGCGTTGGAGGGGACAGGCCCCCACGCAGCCCCCCGCCTTGGCGCCCGGGCTGTGCCGTGTCGCAAGAGCCACCGAGCCGGGCCGCCTGGCGCAAGAGGGGCCTGGGGACTCGGCCACGTCTGCCTGCGATTGCAGCGGGGGGCCGGGGGGGGCCCAGCAAGGGCTGAGCTTGGCCACGACTGCCTGGGCAGGGTGCACAGGGGCTCCGTTGTCCCCTCTCCTTGCCTGCACGGGCAGCTGCAGGGGCTGCCTGTGGTGCATTGCACCCGTGTAGCTGTGGCCAAACCCTCCCCGGCTTTGCCTGGTGGGAACTACTCCCAGCAACAGCCCCTGGAGCAGGGAGGGTGGGGATGAGGGCACCCCAGTCCCCTCCTGGTCCTTAGGTGGTCCCTGCAGCAGCAGGGCCCTCTCCAGGGGCTGGCGCAGAGCGCCCAGCCTTGCTGGCACAAGCCAGGGAACCCGGCACAGCTGGGGCTTTGCACAACCTCATTCCTGCAGCTGGTGCCACCCTGCTCGTGCAATGCAGCGGGACGGCGGGAAATACCAGCGCCAGCAGCTCCAAGGAGACCAAACTCAGAGGCAAAACAGCGTGGGGGTTAATGAGGGGGTTGCTGTGCCCTGGTGGGTGGGGGGGCAGGGGCGAGCCTGCCCCACTTGGCCCGGGATGGAGAGCCTGGATTGCAGCTCCCAAATTTGAGCCTGCAGTGAGCGGCACGTGCCGGGCGTGCGAGGAGGGCAATGGGCACCATACAGCGGCCCTTGGGGAAGCAGGATGCAGCTGAGCCCAAGCTGCTCTTGCAGGGGGTCCCCAGCACCCCCAGGGTTGCTCATGGGGTCCTCGGGCACCCAAAGCTCACCAGCTGTCCCCGAGCCTGCTGGCTGCAGTGGCTACTGGTCACAGCCCCACAATGTGACCCCTTGCTTGGTGGCATGGGGCTCTGGTGGCCACCCCACTGGCTACAACAGAGGAGACAGGGGTCCCACACCACACTCACCTCTCCACCCCCCCGCCCAGGGTCCTCTGTGGGGCTCATGGTCACCCCAGGGCTCCCAGGTGGGTGTCACAGGCTGGTGGCCAGCACAGGAACCCCCCACATAGCCCAAACACGTGGCCAACAGCAGAACCTGCAGCTCAGCAATGCCCCCAACTCAGCCCCCTCTGGGGCCCCTCATTAGGCAGGTAATTAACGAGTCATTAGCAGCAATCCCAGCACCTGCTGTGGGAGAGGAGCTGCTGTGGGTGCCCGTGCAGGTGCGCGCAGGCACCAGGCTTTAGCAGACATATTTATTTCTGTACACACTTATACACACACCGTTCCCAGGGCGCCCGCTCTCGCCTTCAGTGCTTTCTTGTTCCAGGTGCCACCCGGACCGGGTGCTCGTGCCCCCAGGACCATCACCGGGACAGGGGACACGCGCGCCCCCAGGGCCACCCCTGGCCCCTGCCCTGTAGTGTCTCTAGGGCCCCTGCAGCGGGGCAAGGGGGTGCCTCAGTTTCCCCATGCCCAAGAGGGGCCCGTGCAGCCCCATGCGCCCGCCCCGCGCCCCCGTTATAAATACACAAGCAGCAGCTCCGGGTACGGGGCGCCGCGCGCCCGCCCGCCCGCCCGTGGGGCTACTTGACGTGCTCGGCGGCGTGCGAGGAGCAGTAATACTTCTTGTGCGCGATGAAGGTGGAGAGGCTGCTGAACCTGATGTTGCAGAGGCGGCAGTAGCGCGGGTTGCCGTTGGGCACGGCGCCCAACGCCGCCCCTTTGCCCGCGCCGCCCTGCGCG